CAGCAAATCATTCTTCTGTACTATAATTGTGGGTAAACTTTCTTGATAAGCCAAAAATAGAACTCTCTGAAGGAATCAATCGGTGTTACAGGGACTGAGAAATTAAGGTTATGTAGTCAAAACAGATATATGAAACTCAATGCCTTCCGCCGCATTCAGCCCCTTACTCTATATGAACTGCTAATAGCATCCCTAACCTAAATAGTCAAAGGTAGTATATGCCCGGCGTCCAAAGCACGACTGCCATTTAAAGCGACAGAAACTAATACCATAAAGAAATGACCCCTCAGTGTATCCTTCCAGTAAGTACAGAGGTTAGAGAGTGCCATTTCAATACGGAAGACATGCCGTATATATGGATATCACTTATGACGGTCACGTCACAATTAAACTTCGTGCTTTTACGCTTGATCATCACCGTATCTCATAAAAGATTAAATCTAAAAATATAAAATACTTAAAACGTATAACGATAGTAAATTGTTTATGCTGTTTTATTGCAAGAAGTCATAACATGAAATTAGCGCTTATGTTTACCTCATTGCCTTCTTGAACAAGGCAGATGGTTTCACCGGTAGCAGGATTCACCGTAGGAAAGGTCTTGCCATCGACTGATTCGTGCCATTCGTTGTTAATGAATATCTGAAAGGGCGATTTAGACAGTACTGCGATAATAAATGCTACAGGCAAGTATCCGAACAAGCGTCAGAGAATTATGAAGATACTGTGAGAATGCCAACATGTCGTTTATCCGGATTTATATGGCGTAATCTAAGTCTCTTTAAGAGAGGGAGAAATCGGTAAGCCCAGTTTTGCAGCTGGTTAGCATCAAGACACTAAAAGTTTCATTCAACCCGGTTAATGAAGTAACGAAACGTAGAATATAAACAGCGCGTTGGAATTAAACTCATATGATCTGCTCAATCAACTCATAACTAAGACTTCCCGAGATTGTGTCTGTTCCGCAACCTAGGCACTCCAAAATTCAATGTACCAGTAAACACAAGGATTCGAAGAAGAGTACGTAGCAAATCTGTAGTTTAATCTTTGTCAGCTTACAGTGGCACTAACAACGCGTCGTTATGACAACCATTTGAATTCTGCGATTTTCCGTCAGTTGCTGCTTTTGCGATTATTGGGTGCATTTCCGTGATTAACAAGCGGGTACGCTTACCTCTGATATGTAGTACTATGAATTAGTTACCTTAGTGTACAACGGAGTGGTGTTCCATACGGGAAATGGTTCAGGAGCCGCCGTCAAGCAAATACGGCGCGAGATCAACTTGGCACTGCTGATTGTCAGGCGTCGAAATAGCATTGTAGATCGGTTGATCTGAAAAGGCGGCGTTTTGAATGACAATAGAACAAGGACTACGGAAAGAATAGAGAACGAACAGAAAAGGCAACAGAGCAGTAGCTCAAAAC